CTTCAAAATACTGCTCCTTTCTTTGCACAAACTTACCCTCTCATCCTTTCTGCTTTCTGAAGTAATTCTAAAAGTCCTTTATCTCAAGTGGCTTTAGTTGCACTATTGTGACTCCCTTGATGTCCTGAATCCATTCAAAACCTTGACCTTTCCTAGTCATTTTGACTTAGAGGAAGAGCCAGAATCACCCAGCACCAGGTCCAGTGAATAAGGTGGATGAAGACATACTGTCATGTTTTCGTGAGCCTGCCTTTCTGTTGGATGCTGCTCAGCCAAAGCATTCACCATATTTCTGATCACACGTAATAAAGACACTCAGGAAAGAGGACTTCCAGAACTGCTTCAGAAAGTGGCAAAATGATGGGATAAGTGTGTTGGAAATGAGGGGGAGTATTGTGGGAGGGATTCATGGGAACATGTCTTTTATTGAAACACATTTTTAAAATGTAAACATTCACTGTATATTTTGGTCACCTCTTATAGGCAGGAGAAATAACTTGCAGCATGACTGTGACCCTTTTTTCTTCCTCAGGCGTGACCGTTAAGAATCTCCAGGCCTTCCAGGTCCTGCAGAATGTCTTCCACAAAGCCAGTGACTCCGTCCTCTGCACGCAAGTCCTCTTGGCCATCAAGACCATGTGGGCCTGGAACCCGCGGAACTTCTTCCTGCTGGAGTGGACCCTGCAACCCATCTCACAGTTTGTGGAGCTCATACCCTCAAAGCCGACCCTGGTACAGGTGCACTTCTTCCAGCTGCTGGAGGCCCTGGTATTCAGGCTGCGCTATGTGCCCCACGAGATCCTGCGCAAAGTGCAGCATCTGATCAAAGAGAGCCCCCAGTCGTCCTGCACCCTCGTGGCCCTGAAGAGCATCCTTAAGATCACTGGCAGTGAACCTCTCTTCACCGACATCTTCCGGGACTCGGGGCTGCTGGGCCTGCTGCTGGCACAGCTGCGGAAGCAGGCCAAGATCATGAGGAAGTCAGGTGCCACTCTTGGGCCTTGGGAGTGGTGGGTAAATGGGCTGGGGCACTGAGGGTCAGGTCTGGTCTGTGTGCCAAGCTGGCCACCCCTCTATGGAACAGAGAAGATCAGTGAGTTCACGCCATGGGCATCATGAGGTCAGAGAAGGGACTCCTGGGAAGCTTGGGGTCCTAAAGAACGAGGAGCCTCTGGACTTCCTCATGAGGAGGTCAGAGGGGTGGACATAACTTCAAATGGGCCCTGGGGTTTGTCTGGGTGCAGATGGTGAGGGCCTTCAGATCCTTATTAATGCAAAAGGACAGGATCCTAGAAAGCTTGGAGTCCTAAATGCCTTTCTGTGGCTGGGATAGGTCTTATGTTGTAGGCCTGATGGTCTCCTGCTGGGAGAGCAGCCCTAGGGACTTGATGTTTCAGCATAGCCCTCTGAGTCTTGGTCCTCACTGAGCGCCCCCTGGCCCTGTCCCGCACCCCACACTGTGGAGTTTCAGCCTCAGCAGCTTCTGCTGTCCTACTGGGGTCCTTCTGTCTTCATAGAGGGGCCCTGTGGTGAGAGGCTGGGCTCCTTTACAGCCTCCCCATGTCCCATATGGGGGACCCTGCAGGGGACACTCTCTCTGACCTGCAGCCCAACCTGCAGGGATTTGCACGTAGGAAGTATGGTATCAAACCTCCTTCCCCATTTCTCTCAGCTTTCCCTCCACCATCTACCCCGCAGCACTGGGAAATCAGCCTGCAAGAGGGAGAGCAGGACCTCAGCTTCCTCCACATACTCCTCCTCACTTCTTGTTCCTCTCCTCCTCTTCTTCCCCCAGTGCACTGGCTGGGAGTACCTGGGGCTCTGGAGCCCTTGACCTCGTAGAATTCGGACCTAAACCAAGGCCATCAGCCTGTCTGTTTCTCTGGGTATCTCAGCAGGGAAAGGTGCTGCAGATTCTGGGGCCGGACAGCCTGGGCTGGAATATGGCCATGTCACTAACAGGCCACGGGCTCTTAGTGAAATGGCTTCACCTCTATGAGGCTGCTTGCTCCTCTGTACAAGGGTGATGGGTACATTGCAGTGAGGAACAGGACCCAGCGCTGTGCTTGGCACATGGCAGTTGCAGTATCCTAGGTGGTCTGTGGTGCTGTTTGGGAGCCAGTGGTATATGCTCCAAGAGAAGCTTGTGTGGCTTTTGGAGGCCTGGAAGGACCCATGTCCTCTCAGGACTGTTTGCAGACAGGGTCAGGACTGAGGACAGGATGGGCTTACAGGGTGACACTGTCTGTGTCTGGGCCTCAGGGCCAAGCCCTGGACAGTATTTTGTTATGTGGTTCTTTTTATTGCTTGGCTTGTCCTGTGTTGCCATAATGAAACACCTCAGACTGGGCAATTTACAAGAAGTAGAAGTTCTCTGGGCTCCGGTGCTGGAGGGTGGGGAGTCTAACATCAAGGGACTTGCTTCTAGTAGTGACCCTGTTGCTGCATGAAAGCATAGCCGAGGGCATCACACAGACAGACAGCAAGGGTGCCAGCTTGTAACAAGCATACCACCCTGGTCCTTTTATGGGAACCCACACTCATGACCTCACCTAAACCTATCTAATTATGTCCCATAAGCCCCACCCCGAAATATCGTTAATATGTAAGTTTAGGGATTAAGTTTTTAGCAGAGGAACATTTGAAGGACACATTCCAACCAGAGCGAACCTGGTGGCTGAAATCCCATCCTGAGTGAAACTGACATTCAACTTCCTTTGCTTTCCTGGGTGTTTGACTGAGAAGTCTGCATTTAGTGTTTCTGTGCTACCCTAGCTTGGTATTGCTTCTTAGCAGGCTGACATCAAGTTTGCTTCTAAGCCAACTCTGGACCTGTGGCCACCCCTCGGAGAGCTTGAACTTTATATGGGATGAAGCATCTGGTTGTACTTTGTGCTTTGAAATGTGTCTTGTTTTTCCTTAGGTACTTGGTCATTCTTGTGCTCATTTATTTATTCTTTCTTTATCCCCTAAATACATATTGAGTTTCCAGTTTGCTCAGGGATTGTTCTGGAAGTGGTATTGCGTGGTGAACAAAGGTACCTGGTTTGTTCTCATGGATCTAGTGGGGCTGTGTTTTATTCCAGACTCTCTTGGGCTAACCCACAGCTCCTAGCTCCCACCCTCCCAGGTATGAATGGGAAACTGAAGTAGCCAAATGTAGCTTGAATCAGGGCTCCCTGTGTCATCTGTGACCATGCTTCTCAAAGTGTGGTCACAGGACCAATCTTGTCAGCCTCACCTGGCATCTTAGAAATATAGATTTTAAGAACGCATCCGGTACCCACTAACTCAGAAACTCTGGGGATGGGGCATGCATAAGCTTTCCAGGGGCTCAAATTGGAGAATTGTTGGGGGGGTTGGGTTCTATCTTAGGATCTTAGGAACTGGGGTGCCCACTCACTTCTAACAGAAGTATTGTGTTCACATCTCCTTAAGAGAGCAGAAAACCAATGCAGTTCATGTCATGTATTCTTAAAAAATTTTTTTGGTTGATTTTTTAATGTGTTAGGAAGCAAAGAGCCTAGTCCTGGCATCCAGGATCCAGAAAGAGAACTTACCGGCGTGATGCTGAGAACTGTAGTTGTACTTCTGAAAGGCTCGGTTCGGAATGCCGGTAAGGATAGTGCCAGCTTCTCCTTGCCACCCTGTAGTAAAACATTGACTATTTCCTGGTTATCTATGTGCTGGTTACTTACATTCAACTGATTTATTTAAGGAATAACCAGTTTTATGGCTGTGGCTAGTGTCCCTTGGTTGGGTGATGTTCGGCGATCATCAATAAGTTGGTAGACACCTTGGTTAACACTTTTTACTCCTGAGGTTGTAAAACTAGGTTGATGAACCAAGATTGTGCTTAATCTGACAATTTCTCAATTAATGAGAGCACGGACTCCCCTCCCCTTTCAATTAAAATCCATTACTTTTTTTTTTTTTTAAATATCTTAAGAGTAAAGCCCAGGCAAAGAAAATTAGTTCCTTTTTAAGAAACATAATTTTATACCTTTCTTGTCCAGGGTGAATTCAGCAACTTTACCCATCCTGAAATTTGTTAGCTTGCTGAGATCATGTAGTTTCCAGGTTTTCAAAAATATGGTTTCAAATGTGCACATATATAATGTGAAGCAGGTTCACCAACAGTCGCATCCATAGGCTTGGTGATTTTTCATCTTCATCTGAGATCTTCACAGATCATCTATATTGAATGTAAAAAATTTACTTAGTTATAGCAGAGGAAAAAATCTCTTAACATGAAATTCCAAAATATTCCCAGGAGGTGCTGGTTAAATTCATATTCCCAGGCTTGCTCCCAGACATTGAGTTAGTATAGATCAAGCTAGAGCTCAGGAATCCACTCTGGAACAACTGACTTCCATGTGGGGGTACCCAGCCCATACATGGAACAGTCCTGCCTAATGGATTTGAGGGGCTCAAATCCACGTGAAGCTTCTCAGTCACATTAATTCCTAAGTTTTATTCCATGAGGGTTACTTCAAATATCAGTCCTGGGGAGGACATGTTTAAGATGACTTTTGAGCAAAAGCAAAACACCAACTGGATTTCTTTAATTTTCTCCCCAAGGAACTACCAAAGAATTAAATATGTTCTTAAACTCTGGTTTGCTTTCTTTAAGCATTTTGGCAGACAGCAAAGAGAATTGTCATTGGCTCTGGATGAGAAATTACACAGTAATACAGGAAGAGAGCCTGGTTAAAGTGTGTTTTACTTAGGTTTTTAAAAAGAAAGGGATTTTTCCTTTCTCTTTTTTCCCTATAAGATCACAATACTTTGTTAATGGCAGACATCATCTTGTACAATATATCTCCCAAACTCATCTCCTATGAGGAGATATGGGTCAAAGAATTTTTAAAAAATAGAATTCTCACTTGTAAAGAAAGATTTCCATTTAATTGTCAGCTTCACATTTTCTCTTTTCCTTTTTCTAATGTCATCTGAAACAGATATAATTTGGGAAAAATAAGTTAAAAAAAAAAAAACCCTACACTACCAAAGGGCAAAAACAAAACTTAAAAATGTGGTCAAACAAATGTGAAAGCTGTCAGGAAAAGTTGTCTTTGCTATCGAAAACCCCCTCACTCAAGCCCCTCCTCTCCATCTGTCCCCAGTGGTCCTGAAGGACCATGGCATGGTGCCCTTCATCAAGATCTTCCTGGATGACGAGTGCTACCGTGAGGCCTCGCTCAGCATCCTGGAGCAGCTCTCAGTCATCAATGCTGAGGAGTACGCGAGCATCATCGTGGGCGCGCTGTGCTCCTCCACACAGGGCGAGCTGCAACTGAAACTGGATCTCCTGCAGGTAATTTCCCATCCTATTTGTGTCTATCTCTCACAAGGGTATGTGCTAGGTGACTCCCATGTGCCCAGGCATTGGTCCTTTCAGGGCCCAGTGTGTTTGCTAGGTAGTACCTTGTATTAGGTAGAACTAGCTGCTATAACAAATAGCCCTCCTGTCCTCAGTTGCAGAGAACATTACACACTTCTTTCGTATGCAGAATTCATCGACAACTGGGGCTGCCATTCAGGGATAGCAGTCACCTGGGCATCCAGTTCTGCCAGCAGACATGGAAATGGCACACAATGGGCATGTGTTAGCTTCTATCCCATTTTCTCTTGGTGTAACTTTGGGGAGGACTCCATTGGGTGCAAACGGGCTGGAAATGGAGTCTCTGGCTGGGCAAGTGCTTCCAGCAGCACTGCCAGCTATGGAAGTGGACTGAGAATCAGTGTTGCAAATGTCCTGGTTAGGCATGGGGTACAGGTCGTCATGGGAGGAAAGAAGCAGGAGGGACCCACACTGCCTTCCTGGCCTGGGAAAGCTCAGGAGAAAGTGTGAACTGGAGAAGGAAGCAAAGGGTCATCCAGGAAGTGGGAGTAGTGAGGACAAAGGGACAAGAGGTCTGGGTTGTCATCTTTGGAGGACAGGAAGAAGTAAGGTTCTGTGACATTGCTACTAGTCATTAAATATAATAATATCAGTCCTCTTATCCCCTGTCCTTTCCATCTGTGGCTTTCATAGTCTTCTTGTTCCTTCCATTCATTCCTTTTGTCTTTGTGGTTTATGTTTTTGAAACATTCTCTTTTCTTGTCACCCAAACTTCAGCAGCTGGTGGGGCCACAGCATCATGAGTGTCCCACCCAGAAGTGACATGTGACCCAAACCATCCCGTGTTTCATAGGGGACAAGAACCCAAACAGTGATTTATTTAATTACAGGGTCCCTCTCTCTCCAAAAAAATCAGTGACAGCGATTTTTAGAAAATACAAAAGGAAAGTTAAATGTCTTAAAAGTTATTTGAGTCTCATAATTACACGAGATAAGGGGATTGCAAAGCAGACTGCATAGCAAGGAAGAGAGAAATCAAGAATTAATGAGTCACAGACATCATAATGCAGGGGTCCATGCCTACCCATGTTTATAGCAGCACAACTCAATAGCTAAGCCTTGCAAGTGGCCTGTATGTCCATCAACAGATGAATGGAAAAATAAAATATGGTTTTTATACACAATGGAGTAGTACTCTGCCGTAAAGAAGGATAAGTGTCAGTCATTTGTGGGAAAATGAATGCATCTTGAGGCCATAAGTTTAAGTGAAATAAATCAGACACACATAACTTCCTTATATGAGAAACCCAAAGTACAAATAATTTAAAGAGCAAAATGAAAGATAGATAATAGGAAATGGGGAGATAGATATTTTATAAATGAGAAGAAAACCAAGTGATGGAAGGAGAGGGGAATGAGGGAAAGGACAGGGACCAAAAAGAATTAAGATGTGTCATGTGCTTGCACCAACTCTCTAAGATGAATGTAATCATTGTATACTGCAAACACGGGCTGATAAAAACAAAGAGAAATTAATGAGAGCTGGAGTGTAGCTCAGTGGAAGCACACTTTCCTAGCATTCATGAGGCCCTGGGTTTCTTCCCCAGCAAAACACACACACACACACACACACACACACACACACACACACACACACACAGAGGAAGACAAGGACAAGAAACGAAAATGTGCTGGGAAGACTTGAGATTCACTTAGCTCAGGTGTCTAGTGCTGTAGGCAGAGGCAATTGGAGCACTTCCTTCACCAAACTAACACCACACAACTGCCAAACGGTGAAGTTAGTTTGAGCCAAAGACCCAGTGATCTTCCACCTTGCTGTGCTGCTCTCACATATGCACCTCCTGTGTCTGAATTTGCAGTTTAACATGTGTTTCCATAGGGACAGAGAAGGCATGACTGAAACACTCAGGGCTCTGACTTTCAGCTGGACCCACAACTATTTCTGACACTTTCATACTGAAGGTCAAGCAGATCCACAGAGGAGAAAGTTTTGCTTCACTTTGGAGAGTGAGAGCACCTTTGCGCCCAGCGTAGAAGAGGGCTTTGCCCTGCGTGCGGAGTGTTCCCGTTATTTACTCTACAGCCCAGAGGCATCTTATTGGAGTGCTGGCCCTTGGGTAATAGACTGAATTTCTGGAATTAGCAATATAAAGCCATTATGGTGTTTTACAGACTCAATATCATTTCAGAACCATGCTATCATGAGAGCAAGTAAGGAACGAGCACTCAGTGAGCTTATTTAACAAAGTTTTAGCTTGAGCTCAGTGTGCTGGGTCCTGCAGGACAGTCGGAAAGGCCCCAGGAGGGGCCATCACACTGCAGGACCTGGGGCTGTGAACACATCACTGGCCCCAGAGCCTCATCCAGATTTGCCCGCCACTGAGTCACAGGAGTCACTAGTGAACTCTCACTGGGATTGGACGTGGGATCTACAAGCATCCTTAAATCATTCTTGGAGCCCCTGGGAAACTTTGGAAACAAAGATGTAAAATAAGCTCTTTCTGGGCAGATCTCCCTTTTCAGAAGTTGAGAGGCACTGTGTCTACGCAGTAGGTCAGATAATGGAAGTGCCACAGTATTGGGACAGCAAGGGATGGGGGCAGGCAGTGCCCCCTCCCGGTAAAGGGTTGCCACCTCTCAAGTGAGGTCTCATCATGGAGCCCCCTCCGTGTCTCTACCCTGTGGCAGAATCCACCAACTCAGGACGGGTGTTTCCAAATTCAGGGGCTCTTCCATACCAACACTGAAGTGCATATGACTGCTCCACCAATTCTGGCAAGCAATAACTGAGTTAAAGGATAATGTAAGCAAATGAATTTCCTGCCTACAGCCAGTGGGACTGTGATTGGGTTATGCAGAAATTCAGATTGATTTGCTAATATACATTTAGCTGTTCAACTCTGAGTTTAATTGCATTACCTCACCAGTCTTCCAGCATGACACATGGAAAATTATGAGGAATAACAAATAATAGAATGTGAAATAAATCCTGTTAGTCCTAACATAGTTAGCGTTTTGCAGCCCACATCCATCCTATAGATTCAAGCTGGAGGAATACTAACTCAGGGACGATGACGCGGTAACTGAGTTAGGGATGAGAAAATGTGCTTAACGCTGACCTTTCTTGAAATGTGTCAACCCGAGCCTGATTACTTTGACTTCACCTGATTAAATTTACTCCCTTCCATAGCCTTAAAGCTCTTGGTGATGCATTGCCATGCAAAGTTGAGCGACAGTAATGGAGATCCTCTTCCTAGGCCCCCCGTTCCTGACAAATCACTTCCCGAAGTAGCGAAGTATTTATTTTCCTTTATGATAGAGATGTTTCTCTTTAGTTGCCATGAAATTAAGCCTTTGTAATTGGATTTTGGACTCTTTACTTTATGACTCTGCAAATATGAAATTAACCCCATCCCAAGAAATAATAGAGCAGTCTACGTTCTAATGAGATTAGCCCCATTTTAGATAATGACTCTGAATTTAATAAATCAAACAAAGCAACAATTAAGGACAGCCATCTCTCTCTTCCCCTCCTCCCCTCTACCCTGGGTGAGAAGAAAGCTACCATCTAGGCATTACAGGTGACAGTCCCTCCAAGAGAGAGCCAGGAAGGCTATTCCTGGTTGTTCCTCTTTCAAAACATCTGCTCTCAGCACTCTGAAGCATGGAGCTCTTCTAAGTAATATCTGGCCCCAATTTGGGCACTTGAAAGATGGTTGCTGGAGACAGGGGGATTCTTTGGTCATCTGGCATGCAGACAGTTGCCATGATTTGATTAGCTCTGTTTTTCAGTTGTCCTCCCTATTCTGGTATTTATTTTGTCATGTGTCATGTGAGAAACCCAGAAGTGTCCATCATTCCATTTGCCCAAAACCAACCTTTTAGTGGTGTTCAGAGCCCCGGAAAGCCTTCACATAAATGCTGCCTGTTTAACATCTCAGAGCCTGAGATTTCCCTGTGTCTCTGTGATTGACTGATTTTTCACGGCACATGTTGTGTGATCAGGTGCACGGTCAAGCTCAGACAGTGAGACACGTGCATATGGTTTACCAGTGTGCAGCCAGCCGTGGAGATGATCATTAGAAGGAAATGGCTAAAAGCATTGCATACTGCAAAGTTACAGTGAGATCATGCTCAGCTGAAGAAAAATACTTTCTGTTGGGAGTGAGTTGCTCTTGTGGGGAAGGTGCAGATGCAGTGTCTGCCTTAGCCAGTCCTGGCCTTGGGATCCCAGGGTAGGCATGAGAACAAATGGCCATTCTGCCTATGCACATGCACAGGGCCTCAGCATTCTGCAAGAACCTTTGCTGTTGTGCATACACGCTCTATCTAAGGACATGTCTACAAATACCAGTCTGTCTTGGGTTTTAAACCAAGGCTACATCCTCACTTCCGAGGAGAAAGCAACATCACTGCTGTGTCCTTAATATTTCATTTTTGCCTCCATCTTTCCAGCAGTCTGGAAGTTCCATCTCCCCAGAGTCTACCCTGTGACTCTAATTTGACCCTTCACAGTGGTGGCTCTGATGCTGCTTTTTCAAAGAGCAAAATGACACTCTATTTCCCACACTGAGCGGTGGCAGGTTATCATTGATCTGATCACTGGAGTAAGTCAGACATTTCTCTAAGCGGGAAAGGATCAATCAATCCATATTGGTAAGGATGAGTCCTCCCTCACTTCATATTGCTTCTCCATTTTGAATATGATAGTGGACTTTGGCCTTTCATACATTCTCCTGCTTGCAATGGTCTTCATTTTGTTTTCAGTTTCTTGCAATGTCACAGGCAAGGTGTTGGGAGCCTTATCAGCAGTTCCTGGCCACCGTTTCTCCTTGTCTCTGAAAGAATCCTCATCCCATATGTTGGTCAGTGTGGTCCAGGTCCTCTCATGTTCTCTGAGTGCAAACACAGGACTGATGACCCACCAGGACCCTTGGGGTTCTTGTAATGGGATATCATGCTAGAGAACACAATTTTCACGTTGGGACACACATTATGTTGTTGAGGATAGACACTCAGGTTAGGTTAGGGTACCAGGATTTCAGAGATGGAGCTGGAAAATTGCCTTTTTCTCCCAAATTGCACAGATTCATGTTAAATAATCACCTGTAACTTTATTGAATTTCCATTTAATTTTCTGAGTTTTAAAATTGAGTCTGTCCCCCCAGGACACCAATTTTTCTCTTTGTCTGCTAACTTCCACATGTCCTGTCATACACTGTCATTCCAAATTATGTGTTTATGTGTTTAAATTACAAGATCAACCCTTCCCCAAATTGGGAGTGTTTCTCTTACTTTTATCTCTTCAAACCTTATCTCAAATACCCTGGAATTGATGGCCAAACTGTATCCTTTTCCTTGTCTCACTAGAGCATTAAATATTCAAAAAGATAAAATAAATCAAACCTCTCTGCAGAGTCTACTAATGCAGCCACAGTGCTGTCCACTGTCCAGAGGACATGCCCAAAATGCCTGGATTTAGATGGAGTCCCCTGTAACTCATGTGATCAATTAATAAATGAATACCTAAACTACAAACTTTCAATATTTATCTGAAATTATCCAGACACTCTTTACTTTAGGGTGTGAAATTAGCACAGAATGAGAACATATTGAATGCTTGGCATAGACCACACACTGGCATCCATGCAGGTCTCACTGTGGTGCTCAGTAAAGGCTGAATTTTAGAAGGAAATCTGTTTGCCTGAGCAAGAGCCTCAGTTGTCTGGAGGGTACTGGATTCTACTGAGTGGCTCTGGGTTCTGTCAGTGCTTTCTCCATGTGTGGGATGTTCCATACGCTATACCTGTGTCTTCTGTTTCATTGGAAGTTCCTTTTCTCTCCCTAAAATCCTCATCTCTTCTCATCAGTTTTTGAGTAGATTCCCTGTAACATCTCTCTGCATGGAATGGGTGCACCACCCTGCATAGAGAGGGTGGATTTCACTGTTGGTCTCCTGTGCAGGGTAAGAGGAGGCTCCTCCCACTCACGCAGGGGCTTGTCAGGTGAAGCTGTGTCCCACTGAAGTGAGTGGACCACGTGTGGCTCCTGGTCTGTGGCAGAGCACCGAGACCACTGTCCAGCAGCTGTGGCAGTGTGATGACTGGGGGATGGGAGGGCACTGGGTGACCTGGGCTGCATGCTGAGTGTAAGCTAGGATCACAGGAAGCCTTCTGGAGGGAGATGCATTGTAGTTAGGGTGCTGGATGGTTAGGTCAACCCTATCGGTAAGCACAGGCTTTAGGGACAGCCCTTTGCAACAAGGCACCTACGGGTAACCTAAAGCAAGTGTAGGGGAGCAAGATTGGTACACTGAGGCTAGAGAATCTTCTTTCCTCTAGCTCCAGCAGCTTCCTGAGGTCTCAGCAGGGCAGAGCACACAGATGCCTCTGCAAGGGTCCTGTGGGAGCTGGGCTGCGATTTGACTCTTGCAGTTCATGCGTTCCATCTGCTTGCTCTTTCAGTCTCTACTTCGGACCCTCGAGACTCCCAAGGGTCGAGCTGCTTTCCGAGTCTCCAGTGGCTTCACCGGGCTGCTGTCACTGCTGTCTGACTTGGAGGGCTCTCTCCACACGCCCCCGCTGCAGGCCTGGGGTGCTGTGCCCCGCAGCCAGATCCTGGAGCTGCTGCTGCACACCCTCTGTGCCCTGTCTGCTGCACTGCACCTGGACCCTGTCAACAGTGACTTCTTCCAGAGGCATGGGCTCTTTGAGAAGCTGGCCGAGGACCTCTGTTCGTTGGGCTGTTTTGGGACCCCAGAGGAAGCAGGTGCCCCTCAGCAGTCCTGGCCCAACACAAAGGCCAGGCTGTTTGCCGAACTGCTGAGCACCACCTTTTCCCCTGATTGCCCACTCCCAGCCAGGGCACAGAGCTGCCTGCAGGTCCTCGGCTTCCTGGACAGCATGGCCAGCGGCATCCTCCACCTGCGAAGGGACCTGAGGCAGCCCCCTGCTACAGACACCCAGGAAGGAGAAGTTGCCGGTAGCCTCCAGGGCAGCTTCAAGCAGTGGCCAGGCCTGGAGGAGAGGTAGGGCTTCACTGCCTTCGTCTGCCTGGGAGCACCCAGGTGTCTCAGTTTCTTCCCCAAATCTCCTGCCCGGGTGCAGTAGTGGGAAGGCAAAGCCACAGACTAGGTGTGCGGAAATGCCATTTGATTTTCTTTAGGTCAACTGAGCTCTGACCCTGAGCTCCCCTGTGCTGGAAGTTGGCAGAACATTCAGTCCGAGTAAGTGCAGGGCTGGAGGGGGCTGTCCTTTGGCATAAGAACCAGCAAGGCTTCCGGGATGCCTGGGAACATGAGCAGCACACTCCTCTGGGTCCTAAATCTTCTGAGGTCTCATCTCCTCCCCATGGCACTTTTAGGGCTGGGTGAGATCCTTCAGCTTGCAGGACACAAAGCACAGAGCCCATCCCAGCCTCAGGACTTTCACTGTCCTTTCTTGTTGCTTCCATTCTCCTAATGAGATAATTGCTCCTCCTCCTGGCACAAGCCAGCTCTCCGTGGGCTTAGACTTCCATAGAAAGCTTTTACTGTTCGTGTGTGAGATAGAATCCCACTAAAGCAAGCAGACATGGAGGACCATCCCCACCTGGTCCATTTTGTGGTGGGAGGAGAATGAAAGAACACAACAGCCATCATCGGTGTGTGTCCTTCATTTCTCCAAGGAGGCAAAGTCAGACTGCAATTCACATGGCAATAAATTACCCTTTTGTGCATTTTTATCCAAAGAGATGGTGTGGGATGGATGTTAAATCTCTACATACTGAGATGATGATAAGTTTTTGCTGTTGTTTCAGTGGATAATCTGGTAAACGAATTGGTTTTCTAATCTTGCATTCCTGCATAAACCAATTTGTTTATGATATATTTATTGCTAAATTTGATTTGCTAATTTTTAACAAGGAGTTTTGCAACTCTGTTCACAGGAAAGTTTGATCTTTCCATATTCTTTGCTCAACTATTTTTATTATCAAATTTATGCTAGCTTCATAATGTGAGTTGGACAGTGTTCTGCTGGCTGGAAGAGTCTATGCAAAGATTATTTATTTCTACACCTGGCTTTGTGCTAGAACTTGCCAGTAAAACCCTGTGAGCCTGCTGTTTTCTTGCAAGATTTATTCTTGTGAGAATAAATTTCTATTTATTCTTGAATTTTCTCAGGAAGTTATTTTTTCAAGCTCATTTTCCTATTTCATCCAAGTTTGGATATATTGGCAGAAGGTTGCTTATGGTATCTTCTTTTATTTGTCTTTTGAGATGAGGTCTGGCTATCTTATGCAAGCTGGCCTCTAACTCTTGGGCTCAAGTTATCCTCCCACCTCAGCCCTCTGAATGGCTGGAACTGTGGGGGTACACCAATGCACCCCCCATCTTCTTCATATGTGTCTCTGGTGTGTTATCCTCATCTCTCATTGATGACATTACGTGCATTCATATGTGCTTTCACTTGTTTTTCTTCTTTCAGCATTTTTGCCAGAGGTTTATTTTTTAATGTGTCCTTTGAACCAATTTTTTTTTTTTTTTTTTTTTTGGTACTGGGAATTGAACTCATGACCTCACGCTTGCTGGGGAGGCACTGTGCCACTGAGCTACATCCTGGTCCTGAACAAATTTTTTGACATTTCCTATTTTTCCTCTGAAATTTTCCATTTTGTCGTTTTTGGATTCTTATTATTTCATCCTAATTTTTACTTATTCTGGTATCCTTTTTCTCAATTGGAATAACTAGGAGACTAATTTTTAGTGTTTCTTTTAAAATACAAATTTGTCATATCAAATTCTATATTTAATATTACACAGTTCTTGGTATTGTTCTACTTTCTTTTATGATTTGCAGTTGGTGCTTGAGTTGCACTGGCGTCATTTGGAATCTCCAGTGTCCAGCGTTCCAGAGTGATTCTGGCCAGCTCTTGGCTGCTGATTCTTCTAGCTGTACCTTGGGGAGATGACAAAGACTGTGGGATTCCCTTCTTTTGGAATTGGTTGAATTAACTTAATGGCCCTTGATGTGGGAAATTTTCCTCAGTATTCTACCTGTGCATGGGAAGAATGATCACCATCCAATTATTGGATTCAATATTCTAGTTATGTCCCTTGTATCAAATTTGTCAATTGTTTTATCTAACTTTCCTATATCATTAAAATTTTAAATTTGTTTTGCTACAATGTTATGAGAAAGATATATTGAATATCACTGTATCAGTGGATGTGTCAATTTCTATTAATTTTGCCACACATACATTTGGAGCTGTAAGAATTTTATATACGTAGAATTTGTATGTCATTTTAAATATTCAAAGGGTTTGCCCTTACACTGGATTTTTAAAAATCTCTAGATGTATATTTTGCCTCAATATTAACTTTTTTATTTTAAAAATAAAAGGAGGAAAATATTAACAGACAGACAACCTTTTATAAAATAGCAAAAGAACAGTACAGACAATACAGCGTTACAAACAAAGTGGTAGGAAATTAACAATGCTTGTTGTTTTACATATTGATATTTTCAAAGTGGCTTCTCATGAAAACAAATAGAGACATGCAATATTGATCAATCAAGGACTTATTGACAGTTTCTTTCAGCAAAGAAATAGAAGACAGTAGATCAACTATGTTAACTATCCTGTATATACATATATACAAAATTTCTCCTTCTTTCCCTTCTCTTTTCCCACATCCCAGTTGCCCTTTACCCCTGAGCATTTTCCTATCATTTCGCAATGTCTATCATACCCCCGAGTTTATAATAACTCTTTCAGGTTTTACACCAGTGAGACAATGTGGTGCTTGCACAGCAGCACAGCGTCTGCCTGGCAAGCACAATGTCGTGAGTTCTATTCCTGGCACCAGAAAAAAAAAACAAAAAACAGAACAAACAAACAAACAAAAGGACTGACACTAAATCATATCACAGGAATATATGTGCACTTATGTTCATAGCAGCACAATTTGTAATTGCTAAATTGTGGAAGCAACCCAAATGCCCATCCACTGAGGATTGGATAAGAAAATTGTGGTACTTTTATATAATGGAATGTTACTCACCTATAAAGAAAGACAAATTTGAGGCTTTTATAGGTAAATGGTCACAACTAGAGACCATACTCATAAGTGAAATAAGCCTCAATATTGACTTTATTTAATAATACAACAGGATTTTATTAGTTTTCTTTTGCTTAATGTGTGCCTAGAAATTGTTTTTGTCCTTTTTAAAAAAAATACTTTCTACGTTTTTATTTTAGATGTTTTTCTTGTAAACAATAAGGAGTTAGTCTTTTTTATTTCTTTTTAAAATATAGTGTGGTATTTTCTGGTCACTTAACTGGAGGATTTGATTTCTTCACCTTTTAATCATTATGGATGTATTTGGAATGATTGCCACTTTGCTATTTTGTATTTGTCCTTTTTTTCTTGTCTTTTTTGAATTATTTTACTTTTTAATTTAATTTTTTCAACTTATGTGGAACTTAGTCTATCTATGACTATTCTTTTAGTGGTCCTCATGATGGTTAAAGTTAGATCTTATTCTTTATCCTTCTTCCAATTGGTATAAAAAGTATCTTAGAATTTTTAAATATTCTCACCTTTTTCTAACATACATTCTAGTTCTATTATTTTTTTAGATTTACCTGTGTACTTTTAGTATCTGTCCTCCCATTCCTTCTTGCATCTATACACTTCTCTCTGGGGTTGTTTCCTATTTACGTGTAGTACATCATTAGACTTTTCTTTCATGGAGTTGTATTTGTGATAGCTGTCTTGCTGTTTATTAGTTTGAAAGAATATTTATTTTCTCTGTAATTGCCTCAGCAATTACAAGTGCTGAGGTTTTCTAAATCCAATAATTAGTGCCTTTCCTTAATGCTGGATATTCTCTTTATTGCCTCTTTCTAATCTTTTTTCTATTATAAACTTGGAACCAAGACACCTAGATATGTGCTTAGTTTTGGTTTTTGATTTTTTTTTTTTTCAGGTACTGGGAATTGAACTCATGACCTTTCACTTGCCAGGCAGGCGCTGTGCCGCTGAGCTAAATCTCCAGCCCCATATGCTTAGCTTTTTACTCTCTTCTCTGCATGCTTAACCTCTGTTCCACCTTTTCCATCTTTTTGTATCCCTGTGCACTGTCTTGTATGATCTTTTTGACCTGTGTTCCAGATTGTTGCATCTCCTATTAGCTGTATCTAAGGTGATGCTCCATCTATCCACATAGATTTTATTTCTTAGCTTTAATTGATGCATTTTATCTATCTTGCTGTACTGGTTTGGTTCTTTCTCAAATTAACTGGATGCTTTTATAGACCTTCTTGTCCACATTTATCTGTTTCTTTTATTTCTTCAAGTTTGTGACTCATAATTATTTTTTCTTGTGCCTTTAGAGAGTTTGACTCTATGGTCTGTGGTATCAAGGAAAGTTCCCTGTGTGCAGCGTGACTTATGATTGTGAGCCTTGCTCCATGGCTTTTCTTCCCCTGGCATCTCCATGATCATCCCTTCTTCCTGCTCCTTTTGCTTAGGGGTTGGCAGCTGCCCTTTGCAGCCAAGCCGTTCAGACTCCCAGAGCCTGCACTCTTGGCTCCATTTTGGGGTGAATTCTTTCTCTGGGCTTCCCTGATCTCTGTTTTCCAGAGAGCTCTCTGGAGAGCCTCTGTTCTGGCCAACCAGACACCAAGCAGGCTGACTTGAGACCTTAAGGTGTAATCTCACCCAGAGTCAGCCAGCTCTCAGAGGGTGGACAAAACATTTAGAAAATGGATCAGGTGATGAAAGTGATGAAACTAAAATGCTTATTTTAATTTCTTTCTCTCCCAAATCCTGGAATGTTACTGATAAGGGAACCAAGCTAAGAAAAGGTAATGTAGCCAAAGATCATATATGCAGTAAGTATCACAGCCAGAATTTGAACCCAGGTCTATTTCCAAAGCCTGTGTGTGTGCATGTGTCTGTGTTGTATGTTGGTGTGCATGTCTCTCTATATGTGTTCTTGCTTTTCTCTGATGTTACCACAGTAATGATATTGATCCTAA